TCGTTCAAAATAGCCCAGTTTCAAAAGTAATCGAAACTTAGTCACTTTTCATGTAAAGATAAATCAGAGCAAAAACACTATTCAAAATCTGAAAAATACGCCAGTATATTATACTGGAGTTCCAGCATAAGTATGCGTGGACTCCAACATATTATACTGGAGTTCCAAGATAAGTATGCTGGAACTCCAGCATAATATGATGGAGTTCCAGCATAAGTACACTAGAACTCCAACATAATATACTGGAGTTCCAACAAGCATAATTGTCCAGTATAATATACTGGAGTTTGGAGCACCGGTGCTCCAGTCTCCAGTATATTATACTGGAGTCAGCAAAGTATACCGGTCCAACATAATATGCTGGAATTCATACACAGGTGTACCAAACTCCAGTATATTATGCTGGACCGGTCTCTGTTGCAGCAAAATAGTGGCTATTTTTCATTGGCTTCGTAAACGCTGGCTATTTTTGAATGACTCGTCCGAAAACTTGCTATACCGTGCTATTTTTACCATAAAATGATATTAAAAGTTTAAAAAGTAATAAACTTTTATAAAATAAGTATACATGGTAAAGTAAATATTTTAAAAGTATATGGAATTAACTAGCATTTTCGGTGGGCATACCGTGTAGATTACCCGATCATAATCTATCTTACCAACCCCAACGGAAAAATGGAAATATTTTGGATTCTTATTCCAATTGGGCCTGAACATTTAAAAGGCCCATAGTTCATAATGACCAGCTTATACCCTTTCTGTAGAATTAACCAAAATAGCCGCTCATCTAACCGTTTAAATTTAAAATAGCTAGTGGAGGTATAATATATGCATAATGTATGTATTATATGCGTATAATTATGTATGATCAATATATAATTTATGTATAGGACTAGAAAAAGTACAAAGTGAATATGACTACAGCTTACATGCTAGATCTATCCCTAGCTAAACTTGTTCATTACTATTACTTTTTCCTTGGAACTGCAATAATGGAACACAGTTACTAGTGTGCTTCCATTCTAATCATTCAATATATAATATGGTAAACATTAAATGTCTGTCGTTAAATGTCGTCCATCATCATATTAGACAAGGTTTGAGATCAGGCGAAGCTAGTATATATATTACGGGTTCGGTCGAACCCAGTAATTTTGGTCCAAATTTTGTATTTGTCTTAAGAAACCTATTGAATATATACATATTCTTAATTTGGAATCTAATAACTTAAAAAAACTAGAATACTGAACCATACGTGACTCCACCTCGGTTTGAGACTGGTCACTAGTTTGGAAGAAAAACTAGTATTATGTGGTATTCGTTTATATTCGAAAAATTAAGCGCTTACATATTGTTATGTTATCACATTCAGAAAGAAAGATAGCCTTATTTATTTCATAGTAATGTGAAATAATCGAGGAAAAATTCTTTCTAATTATACTATTATAAATTAATTAATCCAGATAATCAAAGTGGGGGAAGGAAATCATTATAGTTATTGAAAACTCTAGCGTCTGACAGATATTTTTCAAATAATAAGACTAGTGTAGTGAAACATAATGATTTATGATAGCAGATAGCTTTAATTTGAATTACTACTCTACTAAAGAAATTTGTTCTTTTAATCCCTGAAATATTGTAAATTCTTATTTTGGTTTTTGTAATAATTTGTTAAACACATTTAACCTTCACTTAACTGAAATGTCGATTTTTGAACTTTTTTGCTTGTGAATTCTCACAAGTTTAACGAACTATTAATTGTTAGTCATTAGTTAATTACTCACATATTATGTTAAATATTCATTATTACTCCATAGCTGAGCGGTAGTATAATTATCATAATAATCTAAATGTGATATATTTTCTATGTAAATAGACCAAAATACACAATCAATTAATTCAAAGTAAAATATATTTGATGAAATATCGCAAGGACTAATATCAAATATTTACAAATACTTAAGGGATCAAAAGTGCAAGATTATCCCACTATTTTTTGTTCCCATTTTAGTCTCTATTTTTTTGTCTTTTTTCTTTTTGTGTGTAGTAGTTGGAAGTATAGTGGTAAATTTTTTAAACTTTAGCCAAAAATAATAATTACTCCCTCCAGTCCAAAATAAGTAATTTTTTTTTGGTTGTTTTCACACATATTCAAAAATTTACCTTTTAACATTAATTAACAATGAAATTGATCATATTAACCTTTATTATCTCTTCACATAAATATTCCTAACACATACTCCAACATTAATTACTCCAAAGACAATGTAGAAAAAAAAATAATTAATTCATTCTTGAAATCTGGAAAAATCACTTATTTTGGACCACAAGAAAAAACCCAAAAAATCACTTATTTTGGATTGGAAGGAGTAATAATTAGAAACAAAAAAGACCAAACAGCCCAAGTTCTAGTAGTTCATCGGAATTATTTTGGCTTGACCGTCTATAAATAGAAAGTTCATGCGCGCGTATGTTCAATTATCCATAACTACCAAGTAACCCAAAAAATTTACTTCCATGCCTAGACTCCTTTATTTCTTCACTATCTCCATTCTCCTTTCTCTTATAGTTTTTTCGGCCACTGGAGAAGATAATGAATACGTGTTCAGAAAATCTATAAATAGAAAGTCCAACGGTGTAAAAAGAGAGAAACTCAGTCATTTCAGATTCTATTGGCACGACATTTTAAGTGGCTCGAAACCAACCTCTATTATGATCGTACCACCACCCACAACCACCATCCTCACANCCACCACCCACAACCACCATCGCCACGGGATTCGGCCTAATAAACATGATGGATAATGCCCTAACCCTAGGACCAAAATTGAGTTCCAAAATTGTTGGAAGGGCACAAGGGTTTTATGGTTCAGCTTCACAAAGTGAATTAAGTATATTAATGGTCATGAATTTTGTGTTTATTGAAGGGAAATATAATGGTAGCACGTTAGCCGTGCTCGGCCGGAATTCGGCGTTCGAGACGGTGAGAGAGATGCCGGTGATTGGTGGCAGTGGGCTTTTCCGATTTGCTAGAGGGTATGTTCAGGCAAGGACTAAGTTACTGGATTTGAAAACTAAGGATGCTACAGTTCAGTATGATGCTTATGTGTTACACTATTGAGCTTGAATATATTGTTTTAATCTTATGTTAAGTTTATTTAATTAAGTTCAATCATTTTCTTATGTTGGCTGCCAACTAACATTAAATAATTAGGTCGCGACCACATAATCTTTGTCAAGGTCAGGTTCAAACTTTAATATGAGTGTTCAACTCGAGACTTGAAATGAATCCAAGTAGAGGTTCTTTCGAGGAATAGCACGCAAAATACAGCCTGGAAAGACAATTCCACCAAAGGCAATGTTAGATGATTAATTCTCTGCTATCGGTCTAAGTCCAAGTTTGATGAACGGAGTTGTATATTGAGTTAATATGATTGTGAAAAATCGAGAAGTAGCTAGTATTGGGAATTAATCCAGGTGCGCGCAAGTTACCGGACACCTACATTGTTATAATAAAAATTTAAGTTATGTAATTATGGGTATAGCATAATTGTTATTGTGTAATTTGCTGACTTTGGCATGTTATCAAATCACTTATATACGAGTGCGTATCCAGTGTGCTAACTTAAAACGTGTAATAAATAAACGACTTTTGGTTAGGTTGTACTTTAGTTGTGACCTGACTCATGCATATATTATGTCAAGTTCCTTGCTAGCTTTGTACTAGTCGGTATTCTTCGGCCTATCACAAAGGTAATACTATAGTTTAAATAGATAAAAATGAAGAAGCATAAATTTTGGTGGATAAGGTATGGTTTAATGGTCAATTAATAAAGTGATGTAATTTTGAAGATTATGGTTCAAATGCTAGTTACTAGAGACAAAAAATACGATAGATAATTTCTTTCTATTTGTCTAAGTATTGATAAGCAAAATTATCTGATTCTTATATTTCGAGCCGCGAAAGCAGCCACTAATGCTTGCATTATGGTAGATTCTCTATATCATAATGCGTGATACTTTGTGTACTTGACTGCCATTTCTATGTGGGTGGATGATCGAAATTTTGCTTTACTCTTCTAGGCTCTAGCAATTACTCGAAAAGGGGTAAAAGGTATATTTGGGACTTTGGCACGCATGAAGGTCGTCTCCTACCTGAAAAACAATCATCACATTTTATTTTTCATTTTCTTGTATCAAATGATACCCATTTGGATACCTATTATTGCTATTGTAGATATGGTACAGAAAACTGATACACAGAGCTAATAAAAATTGCATTGCAAACGAAGAAAAGCAACCTAGCTAATACCACGTATAGTATCTTTGTTTGGAAAAAAAACATGAAGGAAAAAGAAAAGGATACTTACCTCTTATAGATGCTTCAAGGTAGTGTTAGATTATACAAGCAATTGTGAGCGTCAATTTAGGAGTTATTATCGGAATAAGATTAAAGGGATTTAACTTATATACTAATTTACATTATCAGTATAATTTAATATGTTATAGCCGATATTTACTCTTTTTACCAAGTTATGTATCTAACCTGATATCAATAATAATATACCTAGTTAATCTCACACGTGAGGTCCAGAAAAAGAAGTGTGTAGTCGAATCTTATTCTTACCTTGTGTAGATAGAAAGACTTCAGTAGACCCTCGACAGACTTGATATAAACAAATATATTAATTATCGTAGATCAAATTAACCCTATGATGGTTAAAGATTGCTTATAGCTGATTAGGTAGGAGTGTCCCAAGTTCTTCATTTATATTCAAGATAGACCTCCTATATTTTTTTTAAAAGTTTCTTTTCCCTTCCCTTCAATAGGGAGACTAACTTTATCAACTAACTTCATCTCATAATAACTTGCCGAAGAGCTTACGATATCTTCAATAAAACAATGAAAAATCTGACAACTTAGAATTTCCAACAAGAAAACATAACATCTATATATACTTTTGCAAATTTTCCTACTAGTATATATGGTGGAAACAAAGGATTTTCTAGCACAAAGATATATGATCTTTATATAAACCCTTCATTTTCCTCCTCTATACGATCTTACAATCGTTTATATTTCCTCTTCTCCAGTTCTTACAGTATTCATCAAGATAGTCTTGCTCGCTCCTGAATTCTGCGACGAGCTAGTTTAGTTACTACCTTCAGATCAAATCGAATTCTTTAAAATAGATTCATTCAATAACTTTCACAACAACAGAAATTTGATCGATCTTCTACGCGCCGTGAATTAAAAGATGGCAAAGCTGGTGGGGCATGTAGCAACAGGTCTTGGTTTCTTTTTAATAGGTATTTGGCACTTATTCAACCATATCAAACTACATACTTTGCACCCAAATGGTTACACTTCTTTTCTATGGTTCCCAACTCCAAAAATAAGGCATTTAGAACTTTTCTTGATTATGGTTTTCACCTTAATTTTCTTATTAAGGGAACTCTTTAGTGGCCACCACCTTCTAAATTCAGATGGAAGCCTTCCTTCTAACCATCTCCACTATCTTGAACATTCATGTATTTCCTTATCTTTATTTATTTATTCATTTTTCTCCTTAATAATTGACAAAATTACCCCTACACCCTCATCCCAAAATGGGATCACAAATTTTCTTGCATCTATTGCTTTTGGTCAAGAACTTCTTCTTTTTCATCTTCACTCAACTGACCATAATGGTGTTGAAGGACAATACCATTGGCTTTTACAAATAGCCATTTTTGTGTCTTTAGCCACTACACTTTTGGCCATTCCTTTTCCTAATAATTTCTTGAACAATTTTGTGAGATCTTATAGCATTATGTTTCAAGGAATTTGGCTTATGGTCATTGGTCTCATGCTTTGGACACCAAAATTTATACCTAAAGATTGTTATATAAAGTTAGAAGAAGGATATCAAGTTGTTAGATGTCATGACCATAAATCTCTTGAAAGAGCAAAAGCATTAGTAAATATAGAATTTAGTTGGTATATAATTGGAACCACTGCTTTTGTAGTCTCTTTTTACTTGGTTATTATCAAGATTTTCACAAAAAAAGTTGAGTACCAGTCATTAAAAAATAATTATGAGGACCAAGAAGAGGATTTAGAGGATGTTGAAATTCAGAAGAGAAATGATGGTGAACTGAAGAAGTTCGTTGAAATGGGAAAAATAATATGCAAGAAGTGAGGAGTTATTAATTATAAAAGCAAAACATGGGAGTGTACAAAAAGGGAAAAATTTGTTTGGTGGCCGTTGTATATATTTGTTTTTATTATGTCTGGAAAATAGGATACTTGTTTACTGGGAGGGGAAAAAGAAAAAGAAAGTAGGAACTGGTTCAAAATATGATTGTATTGCTGGTTTTTAATTAGGGAGAGGGAGACATAAATTATGTATGTATACATATGTATATATACGATATATTTATTCTTTTAGTTTCGGCTGATTTTCTATTTTTTCTTTTTCTTTGAACTCTGTGTCTCAACTAATTCAAATTCGCATAGTATAATGCACAGTCAAGAATCGGAGAAGCGCTCCCTTCAAAAAAATTTCTTTCTTTCCCGGGATTTGAATCGAAGATCGCTAATTAACAATGGAGGGATCCCATCCATCTATCCACATCCCGTGAAGGTTTGGAAGCTACAGCGAAATCCTTGCCTTAGAAGTGATAACTGATGATTGAGAAAGGAACATTGTCGTGATATTTTTAGTTTAATTGGTAGGGTGAACGACTATTTGGGTTAATTCTTGGAAATCTATTTCGCATGCATAAAACTGGAAATGAAAAAGAGAAGCTAAAAAGTTAGAATAACTACACAATTAACTGAAAAATTGAGGGTAATATGAAGGGAAAGTCGTAAAGATTTGTTACAGCGTAGTAGAAGAAGTTATGAAGAGTGTATAAGAAATTTATGATGTAGCTGAAGAAAATACTATATCGGACTTTAACCTTGCTTAAACTAGGTTAAATTGTGTAGTAAGTGAAAAAATGGTAGTAGCTGCTAAAGTTATAACTTAGATGTAATAAGTAAATTATAAGTGTAACGTGATATGTAAGATACTAATCATCCTATTTTTTATACTTTCCATTTGAAAAATAAGATTACTTTTATTACTGGTGCACATACGAATGAGGTCATCTTTTCTCAAAATTAAAATTAATTGCCCTAGCAATTATGGCGGGATAATACATGGACTCTAAATCGTGTAAAAAGTATTTACAAAGTCTGATTACTTATAAGAAAATTCTATAAAAAAAGAGTTTGATTGATAGCCGATTAAAAAAGTTAATTAACTAATCTGCTATCACAAGTTAAACTACGACAATAATACATTATTAGCATATATAATTTAAATTTGTATATTATCTCTTAATAATCAGTATGTACGTAACATCCGAAGCTAGTTGACAAATTAGGATCATGATCATACACAATCAACCATTATTGTAAGTCATCTTATCCTGAGGTTATCATTGCTCGAGAAAATGCAACAATTTGGCTAGATACCATGAAATAAATCTAACTCGAATCGTGTTAGCGGAACACGTCTAAATAAATTTGGATCAAAATGAAAATCCTTAAATAAAAAATAATTTACCTAGTAGACATGTCTATTAATAGTCAAAAAAAAAAGAAAGTACATTA